AAAAAAAATCTTCTGAGGGTATCTTCCAAATCAGCTGTCCTTACAGAGCTACTTGCTTGCTTGTCTCTTGCACACTCTGGTCCCAAATTCCCCAAGCCAATAACAAATGTTTTCCTTCGTCAAAAGAGTGTATTTTGTGTAGGGTTCCATCCTTCCATATTTTCAAAAAAACAGGATAACCCCAGTTGTATCTCTTGCCATTCTTAGTTAGGATTGAAGTAATAGGTTTCATTGTTTTCCTCCATTGAATAGTTTCAGAGCTTGTTTGTTATTTCCCAGTACTGTATTGCCTCAATAGTTAAGAGATGGTTGAATCACCCATAGCTCTATGTAATAGAAACTAACAAGCAGCCACTAATTTTACATAGAAGGAAGTCATATTCTGGGATATAGTTAATCCAACTGAAAACATCCTCATATACTGTATTTGAGTCAATTAAGACCCAGCATTGCAAGTTTTCAATTCAATTCTTACTCATGGAGACCCCATCAAAATAAAAATTAAAGATACAGGAGAGTCCTGGGTCCAATGGTGTTAGCTCTAATCCGTATTTGTCACTATCCATGGGGGAGCTTGGAACCAATCTCCTGTGGATACAGGGTTTTGTTGTTGTTGTTTTGTGTGTGTGTGTGTGTGTGTGTGTGTGTGTGTAATTATAAATATATAAAAATTAGTTAGTTAGTTAGTTAGTTAGTTAGTTAGTTAGTTAGTTAGTTAGTTAGTTAGTTAGTTAAAACATATACCACCCCATAATGCAACACACTCTCTGGACAGTTTACAACAAAGCAAGAATAAATACAAAACGATACACAAAAACACATCAACAAAAACCAATCAATAAAACCATTGGCTTTTCTATTAAAATTTTGTATTCAAGGCAACTATCAAACATTATTAAAACAGTTGGAAACAGATAAAAAGCAAAAAAGAAATTTGACAATGGAAGCAATGAAAATAATCACAATAATTTAAAATGGTTACAAATACAATCACCATAATAACCTTAGAACTGCAGCTCTGAAAGGGACCCTATGGCTCATCAAGTCCAGCCCCTGTCAAGGAGGCACAGTGAGGAATTGAACTCCCAATATCAGGTTGCACAGCCAGATACCTAACAATAATCCATAAGACCCACAGTGATAAAGGTGATAAAATGTCCGATTAGGACTCAGGAAATCAGGTTTCAGCCTTCACTCAACTAGGGAAATTCACTGGATTCTACCAATGGTGAACCACTCCATGAACATCTCAAGTACTGTACCTTGAAAATGCCATTAGGTCAGTATAAGTCAGAAGTAGCTTGATAGTACATAACAACAAATCCATAATCAAAACAGATTAAAAGCAGTAGAGATGTTCTCACTCTGGAAGAGAGTTAAGTACATGAAGTCTACAATAAAAACCATCCTAGCTGACCATAAAACACACACCCATTCAAGACAGTTTCTGCCATGTCCCAATGGAACAGGGACATCTAACATTCCACCTCAACCATTTGCCCTTTCTACTATCCAAATTTCCACAAAGCTTTTTTGACCATGGGGAACATAGTCTGAACACATGAGAAAGGTTAAACACAGTCACTACAAACCAGAGTCTACTATCATTTCCACCATGGGAGAGGTAAATATTATTCATTTACTACAATATCTGCCTCCCATCCAGAGGATGCTCAAATGCAGACGTCAGGAATTGCCCCCAACAAGGGATGGAAACAAAAGCAAGAGACTTGGAAGAGCACAGAGATGGCAATGCTCTCTCAGTCATTTACCTACTACCACCTACTATGTGTCTATGCGTTTCTTGGCACAAGGGAAGAAAATCAAGGATTTTCCCACGCTCATTACACATCTAGGTCCTGCCAAAGTAATTCTGCCAAAGTACAACTTCTTCTGCCACTGCATTATTATGATACGGCCACTCAAAAATAATGAAGATGACTTCCCTCTCTATATGAACTTGCTAACTTCCTAGGTTTTTGTTGTTCGGGGCCTCTAATAAACCTTTAAAAACACAACTGTCCCTTCCCCCTTGTTTTCTTGCAGAACCTGCTGCTGGGCAATTTCTCAACAGCAATTTTCAACAGGAAGCTGCTGGGAAGAAGGGGGATAACCTTGTGTTTGCTTTTCCTTCTGACTTTTCTTTTTTACTCTCTGTGGTAGCAGTTTGGATTTTAGCTTCATAAGAGTTGATGATTTATAGGAAAAAATGCAGTTCTTCCTAATTTGCATGTAGCCATTATTTTGTTCAGTGGTGTTTTTGCGCTTTTCTGGGTTTGGTCCGCCAGAAGACATAGTCCTGGATGCATGTGAGATCACTTTTTAATCTGAAACACAACAAATTAATCACAACACAAGCACATTCTGGCAAGCTGCCATTTTTCATTCCCCCTCACATGAACCAAGGGACGTCAGATGCCCTTACCTTTGAGAACAGAAATGTATTGTCGGCTTTCCCCATCTGTGGGGTAGTTCCTGAATTCTATATCTTCTCCATCTTTCAGTTCTACCTTATCATAACCATACCAGCCAAGGAGCTCATTCATGGTGTTTTCTGCAAAGTTCTGAAAGAGAAGAATTACCTACTTATTTATGTAATCAATAATCATTAGGAACGAAGAGATGAATGCATAAATTGAAATCTATTTGCACTGTACCATGAAATAGCAGCTTTGTCCCACCTCCTCTAGACTAATGTTCATTTATCAAGTCACGTACATAGAATGTAATGCATTTAAATCTTTGAATGACACATGTAATTATGACAAACCTTCATGAATTTGCAATTTAAAGAAAAATATGAGGGGAAAGAGAGCTATTTGTCATTTCTTGCACATGAATTGATAGTCAGTGATATATTTAGCACATATTTTTCACAAAACCTGTGCTACCATAAAATGTTTTAAAGCACATCAGAAAAGCAATAGAAGGACAAAGAGTGTTTCTCAAGCACTAATCAATCAATCTTGCTAGATTACAGCTATTCACATTAGTACAGGCTAATGACTCAATCAAAGACTGACCTATAAACCAGGTCTGATGAAATTATAACCCAGATCTAACAAAATTACAAATCAAATACTTTTAGTAAACAAAACTAAGGAAGCCTGATAGGATATATGAATGCTGGAAATGTTAAAGAAATTGGCTTCCTTAGTTTTGGGTCTTCCACTCCAGGAGGCAGTGGAAGACAAAAGCAGGAGGGTAATCAAACTGTGAAAAAAGCAAAAAGTTGATATGTATTAGTAATATGAATTGATTGGATGATGTTATACTTTATGCTCTCCTATCCCCCAAAACCATTTTTCCTTGCCTATCCCCTCTTTCTTTTTGTACCCTCTATTCCTGTTCCTAAATAAAATAATAATAAAATTTAAAAAAAAAAGGAATTTTTCCAGAGGGAGGCAAAGTTGCCTAATGATACATAAGCATGTGCCACATGCTTAGCACACACTGCTACAACAAACCTGTGCATTTTCCTTGTAAGTTTGTGCACACATGTTTTGACACACACTCACACAACATCGTATACAATCATATTCAAAAGCCTACAAAAAATGGAAAGAAAATTCTCCACCCCTAACTATTTGACAGCATTAATGCAGAAGAAAAGAGTCATTGTGAACTCAATTTATGTAGAAAGAGGGACATTTTTTAAAAATTAAGACAAAGTTTGGCCAGTCCTCATGACCAAACACAGCAAGCAAAGCAAAGTGTTCTGCTTATATACCACCCCATACTGCCTAAAGCATGCTCTGGGTACTCAATTTACTAACCTTGGAAGGCTGAGTGAACCTCAAGACAACTAATGACCTGGGATTGAACCTGAGTCATGAGCAAAGTTTTGGCTGCAGTATTTCAGCTTAACCACTGTGCCACAAGGCTCCCAGGATTGAATAATGTGTTGCATACTACAGAATCTGGGTCTGGCAGTCATCATCCAAACATCAAGTACGAATTGACTAATTCAAACCATATTATAGATGCTTTCATACACCTGTGGTAGGTTTAGAAGATAGGGACCAGTCTAGGAAGATAATGGCTTCAGGGCACATGATGAAATCATCTTGCTGAAGATGAGCAGATCTGGGCCTGGTCAGGGCTTAAATGGGAAACAGCATAGGAACCCCATGTGTGCCTCATCCAGTTCGAGATGGAAGAGAGGCAGAACATATTTTAAATATATCAAATAAGCAGCAACAAATTGCATGGGTCTTTTCCATTCAAAAGGCACCTGACAGCTGGTCTAGAATAGGTTCAGTATGACGTACACAACTGGCCCTAGCAACAAAGTTCTTCTATTCTGACTCTTAACATTCAAAATTTTATTCTGGAATACCACCAGAAAGTTACAGTTTCCATGCCATTCGTTTTATGTACAAACAGACCTAAAGCCTCTGAAATTCTTAGGCTTATGTTCAAGTCTATCTTCTTGCTCTGTGATGTAATTTTTTTTTAATATGGACTATAAATACAGTATGTTTTATTCAGGTAAGCATTTGATAATTTCTCTGGGAACTACAGGGCAGTCAGCCTGACATCAATCCCAGGCAAAATTCTGGATCAGACCATAAAGCAGTCATTCTGCAAGCACCTAGAAAACAATGCAGTAATTAGAACCCAAGGCAGATTTGTGAAGAACGAATCCCGCCAAACTAATTTGGTATCATTTTATGATCAGGTCACCTCTGTGATAGAGGGAATGCTGTAGACGTAGTATATTTTGACTTCAGCACAGTTTTTGACAAAGTGCCCCATGATATCCTGATTAACAAGCTAACTAGATGTGGGCTGGATAGATCAAGTGTCAGGTGGATAAACAATTGGCTACAGAATCGTACTCAGAGGGTGATGATTAATGGGCCCTTCTCTAACTGAGAGGAGGTAACAAGTGGGGTACCACAAGGCTCAGCCCTGGGCCTGGGGCTCTTCAATATTTTTATTAATGACTTGGATGAGGGAATGCAGGGAATGCTTGTCAAATTTGCAAATGATACCAAATTGGGCGGAACAGCTAATACCCTAGAAGACAAACAAAATTCAAAATGATCTTGATAGGATGGAGCACAGGGCCGAAAGCAACAGAATGAAATTCAACAGGGATAAGTGCAAAGTACTGCACTTCGGAAAAAGAAACCAATTGCACAGTTACAAGATGGGGGATACCCAGCTCGGCAAAACTAAGAGCGAGAAGGATCTTGGAATTGCTGTAGATCACAGGCTAAATATGAGCCAAGAGTGTGATGTGGCTACAAAAAAGGCAAATGCTATTTTAGGTTGCATTAATATAAGTATAGTTTCCAAATCCCGTGAGGTGCTAGGCCCCCTCTATTCAGCACTAGTTAGGTCTCACCTTGAGTATTGCGTTTAGTTCTGGACACCACACTTCAAGAAGGATGCTAACAAATTGAAACAAATTCAGAGGAGGGCGACAAAGATGAGTAGGGGGCTGGAAACCAAGCCTTATGAAGAAAGGCTGAAAGAACTGGGCATGTTTAGCCTGGACAAAAGAAGACTGAGGGTTGATATGAGAGCACTTTTCAAATATTTGGAAGGCTGTCATTCAGAGGAAGGGCAGGATCTGTTCTTGATCATCCCAGAGTGCAGGACATGCAACAATGGGCTCAAGTTAAAGGAAACAAGATTTTGGTTGAACATCAAGAAAAACTTCCTGTTATAGCAGTACGACAGTGGAACCTCAGGAGTGGGTGAGTGCTCCAACACTAGAGGCATTCAAGAAAAACTTAGATAACCACCTGCCAGATATGCTTTGATTGTATTCCTGCATGGAGCAGGGGGTTGGATTTGATGGCCTTGTAGGCACGTTCCAACTACACTTTTCTTTGATTCTATTATTTCTTTATCTTATATTAACTATTATTCATGTTTTACTGCTGATATTGTTATGTCACGTCTCTGTGTGTCCATGTGTGTGCACACCTTTCTAAGCTTTTATTGTATGCCACTTGGGCAGCATATTTCTGTTAAAAAAGCAATTTAAAATAAAAAGAGATAAATACATATTAATGCAACATGAGAGTTCCTATAGTTCAGTGGTTAATACTAGACTTAGGCAATGGAATCATTCACAGGCTTGTGAGAATCCTTATGTACATAACTGACCAAGATAAGAGATGTTTTGCACTATGATTGTCTAAACGCAGTCCTGCTCAGTCCTGCACTAACTTTGGCAAGACTATGAGTTGGCTCTGGTGCTCAATAGCTAGACTATTTTGCCCCATGCCCTGCCTCTGTTGTTGCCACAGCTAAGAATCATTTGCAGCAAAATAGGTTGCGTGCTCTTTTCCCAGGCAGCAGCAGAACCTGTGGGATGACAACAAAGGGAAAGTACTAGCACTAAGGGCTGCTTCCACTTAGCAGCCCCACTAAGAAAATAAAGGGGCAATGGGTTAACTTATTTCAAGAAAGAAGAGAGAAGGGATAAGCCCCTTCCTCTTTAAAGTAGCTGGGTATGACAGGTGGTGAATTTGCAGAGGTTCCCTTAATGACCCTGAGGCAAGAAAAGAGAAGTCCTGAGGGAAGACTGAAAGCTCTCCTCCTTCATGGCATTTTGACTGGCGGCTTGTCTACACATGACAATTCGAGCTCCTCACTGGATTGGTCTAAATAGGGCTGGTCAAGTTCCAGTATGCCATGTGGTGTGATTCTCTCATTCAAATGGTATACACACCTCAAGTGACTTTATTTGGTCCACCTCCTTTGGCTGTCACATTGTCATATCCTGAAGTGGCTTAAGAAGAGAGCCACTTCAGGATATTGGCAAATTAAATACTTTCTCTGCACCTCTGTGTAGGTGCAGAGGAGGGGACTCTATTAGGGCACACCATTGTTTAATTGGACACTTTCTTTAAAAATTAAAAAAATAGAAAACTTCCTCCTGGAAGCAGGAGAAGACAAGAGGGGGTAATGAGGGCCTTTAAAAATTTCTTTGACTTGTCTTAAAGGTCTGCTCAAGAACTTGTCTGCAGCCAAATCCACTGTGGATTTGGATGCAGGCAAATTCTCAACTAGACCTTTAAGACAAGAGAATCTATGTATACAGGACCTATGGAACTAGAGGTTGAACACAAAATCATTCTACAATAATATATATAATACATTATATATTCAAAATTTCTTAGTCTTCTCTGACAATAGCAGTCCCCAAAGCCTTAGAAATACAATGTACAATGTTCTATAATTATGGCTGGAGACTGAAAAGAAAAGGATTTTGAGATGCTCCTAATGCAGCTGTTTGAGGAAACATATTATCCTCATAAATTATAAACTAATAATGAAAATGTTCTTGAAGTACCTTATTCCTATATGGCAAAAACAGTACTATCCATTACTAAGAAGAAAATATTAACAGCATGTTTTGCAAAAGCTGAAGAGATACTTCAAAGAAGAAAAAGAAATAGGGGCAAAAACTAAGGTAGTAGAGGCCTCAGAAATTTGCTTATAATACGTACAGTATGGACTAAGCATGCTGTGGAGGCACAGAATGCTATCTGTCTGTTGAGGGTCAAACAGAAAACCAAGGAGGTGTGTCAATGTAATGGAG